GACCGATATTTCATGGTGTCACCCGTGCCTGCTGGGTCGTCTTACCTTTTATGGCTGCATCCAGTAAACAGGAGTCCTACTGACTGATAAAATAGGAATAACCACTGCAATCCCAAATATAGCGGCAGAAACCCCTCAGCATTTAGGATCTATACCGTGTACCTGCAGCTTGCATCACTGCATGGACAAAGGGCTGAAAACAGCCCATTTGGCAATTGCTGCTCCATCCCAAATTTTGCTTCTTCCCAGAGTACTCGAGCAGGCTGATGAGAGTGACCTGAAATCATCTTTGCTGAGATTTACCGATACAGATGAGACCTATTTAAGAACTCTCACCACCATCTATCTTTTGGGCAGATAAACTTCAGCTGCAGTGCAAGTTAACGGGCTTTGTGCTGGAGCTCTCCGCGGGGGGGACCGTGTCCCCTTAGTTGGCAGGTCAGCATGAGGATGACTAGGGTTTCTTCTGGCCCTTGTCTGGCAATACATTGAAGTTCTTCATGTGCTGCTTCGGATGCAATTTCTGGGGAATGAGGCTCCCTCTGGCTTTGAAGAGGCGGCTTCTGCATTTCCAGTGCGATCAGAGCTCTTGTCCATGGAGCAAGGGTCGGAACTCGTGGATTGGAGGCTGTAATATTTTTTACGCATTATTATCAGATGACACCAAGGTACATTTTAATGCATGACCTGCTACAAGTGTTTGAAAGGCCTGTGTGCTTTTGACACCTGCTGTACGGGATGCTCAACTGGAGCTCTCTGTAATCCATCCCTGGTATACCCCGCTGCCTTGGCTAGGGTGGGAGCCAACTTACCTACATATGTTTTTGAAATCTTTCAGCTTTTAACCTGAAAAATTTTATGTTTGTGGGTAGGATTTCACTGTGCAATGACATGAAAAGAGGCGTGAGTGACTTTCAATGTTTCCGTTTTACCACTTTACAAGTCGTCACATAGTGGATTGTATTTTACAGGCCTGATCATCTTTTCATCTTAAATACCAGGCAGGTGGAAAAATGACACACAGGACTATCGCACTCACTGCATCCTCCCCACAAATACCCTTGTTAGGCAGATGTGGCGATTAATGCATTTTACAGTAGCTTTCCATGCCCGGAGGGAGGGTGATGGAGTTGCGGGCAGGCTGGCAGAGAGGGCCAGCTTCGGGAGAGGTGCTGTCAAGAGGTCAAGGTGGACATTTTGCTTGGGAGGGAGCTGCTGAGGATTGCTTTGCTGCAGGGGATGGGATCAGCGTTGTAGCTGATCCCCCAGCCAGGCTACAGGGACACGGGCTCGTCATAGCACTGGTGTGATGGCAAAGCGGCAGAAGGTGCCAGGCGCTTTGGCAGTGGTCCCTTTGCAGGAGTCCCAGTTCTTGGTCCCCCCAGCCATATGTGGCACCTGAACCTGGCTGTGTGGGGTGAGGGGAAGGCGTCCTGCT